GTAGTGGCTCACACCTGTAGCTACTTGGGAAGCTGAGGTGGGAGGATGGCTTGAGCCTGGGAGGTCACAGCTGCAGTGAGCTGTGATTGTCACTCCAGCCTGGGTGACAGAGGGAGACCCTGTCTCAAAAATATGTATAAAAAATAAAAAGAATATCAGACATCACCATCACCTCTCCTAGAAACCATGAGGCCTTCTCCTCAAATCAGATCTTCCGAGGTATTTCATGAACTTGGATCTAGTTTCTGTTCTCTCCCAAATTGCCCAGGTTGTCCTGTGAGTGAGAGCAGCTATTTCATGGGCCACCTCTGGAATCATAAGTCACCCAAACAATCTCAGTTTTCTAGCTCACTCAATCTTGACATTTCTACAATGTCATCCTTTGTTTTCTTGGAAATTAATTTGCTTTTCTTCATTGTCTTTCTTTGGAGCTTCTTTCCTCTTGTTGGTCACTATTTTATTTTTAACTTCCCACACCATACCAGCATATGTTGGTTATTCTTTTAGACATTTTGTTGTTGTTGTTGTCACTTGGAACTTTTGTATCTTGAATAAATTTGGGGATCGAATACATTTTTTCTCCACCAGTCTTATTTATACCTTTCTATATTAAGAGCTTCAAATTTGATTTGGTTTGAAATTGTTCTCCCCCAAACCTTTTTTTTAATTTGAGATGGAGTCGTGCTCTTGTCACCCAGGCTGGAGTGCACTGGCACGATGTCCACTTGCTGCAACCTCCACCTCCCAGGTTCAAGCGATTCTCCTGCCTCAGCCTCCTGAGTAGCTGGAATTACAGGTGCGTGCTACCACACCCGACTAATACTTGTATTTTTAGTAGAGATGGGGTTTTGGCATGTTAGCCAGGCTGGTCTCGAACTCCTGACCTCAAGTGATCTACCCACCTCAGCCTCCCAAAGTATTGGGATTATAGCCGTGAGCCACCACACCTGTTGTTTTTTTTTTTTTTTTTTTTTTTTTTTAACTTTTATTTATTTATTTTTGAGAAAGAATCTCACTCTGTCACCCAGGCTGGAGTGCAGTGGTGCCATCACAGCTCATTGCAGCCTCAACCTCCCAGGCTCAAGTGATCCTCCCACCTCAGCTTCTCGAATAGGTGGGACTGCAGGCGCATGCCACCATGCCCAGCTAATTTTTTGTAATTTTCATAGAGACAGGGTTTTGTCATGTTGCCCAGGGTGATCTGGAACTTTGGAGCTCAAGCAATCCATCCATGTCTGCATCCCCAAATGCTGGGATTATAGGCGTGAGCCAGTAACCTTGTCCCTTTTATTTTATTTTATTAATTTATTTTTATTTTATTTTTGAGACAGAGCCTTGCTCTGTCACCAGGCTGGAGTGCAGTGGCACAATCTTGGCTCACTGCAACCTCTGCCTCAGCCTCCCGAGTAGCTGGGATTACAGGCGCGCACCACCACGCCCAGCTAATTTTTGTATTTTCAGTAGAGGTGGGGTTTTACCACGTTGGCCAGGATGGTCTTGATCTCTTAACCTCGTGATCCGCCCGCCTCGGCCTCCCAAAATGCTAGGATTACAGGCATGAACCACTGCACCTGGCCCTAAAAGTAGCCGCCTTTTCCCTTTTAAAGAGTTTGTGTCCACAGCTACTGGATGCCGTTTTGTTTCAGATGGACCCTGAATAGGTTTCACTCGTCACGCCCAAAGGTTGCCACTCCTGATGAGTCACAAACAACGCTTGCACCATCATCTTATTCCTTCAAACAGAGTCTATGGGCCCCTGGTTGTCACTGAGGTTCTGCTTCCTGTACCAGTAGGGTTTTAAACACTACTCAAGGCAGTCTGGCTTTAAATATCCTACTTAGGCCAGGTGTGGTGGCTCAAGCCTGTAATCCCAGCACTTTGGGAGGCCAAGACGGGCAGATCACAAGGTCAGGAGATCGAGACCATCCTGGCTAACATGGTGAAACCCCGTCTCTACTAAAAAAAAAATACAAAAAACTAGCCAGGCGAGGTGGCGGGCGCCTGTAGTCCCAGCTACTCCGGAGGCTGAGGCAGGAGAATGGCATAAACCCGGGAGGTGGAGCTTGCAGTGAGCTGAGATCTGGCCACTGCACTCCAGCCTGGGCGACAGAGTGAGACTATGTCTCAAAAAAAAAAAAAAAAAAATCCTACTTAATCTAATCTGGCTCACAGGCTCTCCTCTGGTACTCTGCTGCCTCATAAACATCTCTGGCTACTCAGTTAAGGTTGGCTTAGTGTCCATCTCTCCAGTTCAAAGGCCAGCAGCCTCTGCCTTGTACAGGATTGTTCTCACTCCCGCTACACACTTCTGTCTCTACTGAAAGGCAGGAGGAGACTGTGGCATCATCGGGATAGTATGTTTCATCTAAAGGCCTGGTCACCAGATGTGAGTTGTAGAAACTACTTCTCTCATCCCTCAACAATTTCACGGTTGTAGGAGCTGACATTAACCTGCCATGCCCCCAACAGCCAGGCGCGGTGACTCATGCCCGTAATCCCAGAACTTTGAGAGGCTGAGGCAGGTAGATCGCCTGAGGTCAGGAGTTCGAGACCAGCCTGGCCAATATGGAGAAACCCCCGTCTCTACTAAAAATACAAAAATTAGTCAGGCGTAGTGGCTCTCACCCTAATGCCAGCTACTCAGGAGGCTGAGGCAGAAGAATAGCTTGAAGCTGGGAGGCGGAGGTTGCAGTGAGCTGAGATCCCGCCACTGCACTCCAGCCTGGGCGACAGAGCGAGACTCAGACAAAAAAAAAAAAAAAAAAGGCCGGGTGCAGTGACTTATGCCTGTAATCCTAGCACTTTGGGAAGCCGAGGCAGGTGGATCACTTGAGGTCAGGAGTTCAAGACCAGCCTGGCCAACATGGTGAAACTGCGTCTCTACTAAAAATACAAAAATTAGACGGGCATGGTGGCAGGGTGCCTGTAATCCTGGCTACTCGGGAGGTTAAGGCAGGAGAATCGCTTGAACCCAGGAGGCGGAGGTTGCAGTGAGCCAAGACTGCACCGTTGCACTCCAGCCTGGGCGACAGAGCGAGAGTCCGTCTCAAGCAAACAAACAAAATTAAAAACGAGGTCAACACAGTGAAACCGTTCACTAAAAAAAAAAAATAGCCGGGGCGGTGGGGGCGCCTGTAGTCCAGCCACTCAGGAGGCTGAGGCAGGAGATGGGGGACCGGGGGCGGAGCTGCAGTGGCCGAGATGCGCCACTGCATCCACCTGGCAACAGCGTGAGACCTTCAAAAAAAAAAAAAAAAAAAAAAAAACGAGGTCAAGTTTCAAAAGATGTCACCCCCAACCCCGCAAATCTTCTCCTCAAGCCCTGTTGTTCCACTCTTGTCCGCCAGGAGGAGAAAAGGTTCCCTCGAAGGACGTCTTTGCTTGCGCGTTCATGGAGCCTTGAGAACGAGTGGCCGAGCGGACCCCCGCGGCGTGCGCGCCCGTGAGTCTCCCGGGGGCGAGGCGGGAGGGCGCACGCGCAGCAGACTGGCTGGGCGTGACGCGGCGCCGGGATTGGGCTTTTGTATTCCGCGTGGCTGGAGCTGGGGCTGGAGGAAGGTCCGGAGGTGGGTGCGAACTCTGCGAGGATTTCCTCTTCCCCCAGGACTAGCTGTCATCTTCGTTTTTCAGAAGGGAGGACCTGACTGCTTTCAGAATTAGCATTTCTTCCCCTTCGTGGATGCTCTTGAGTTCCAAAGAAAAGGAAGAGAAGCCGTCATTGAGCAGCTTCTTCTGCCTTAGGGACTTTGGTAGGGGGTAGATCGACCTTAGGGGAAACGATACCCTCTTCTTAGAGGAGGTTTGGATCAGGTTTGCTTTATTTGAAATTTAACAAATACAGAAAAGCAGAAGGAAGAAAATTGAAGTAATCCATGTTTCCACCGGGCGCTGTGGCTCACTCCTGTAATCCCAGCGCTTTGGGAGGCCCAGGCGGGCGAATCACGAGGTCAGGAGTTCGAGACCAGCCTGACCAACATGGTGAAACCCCATCTCTACTAAAATTACAAAATTAGCCGGTTGTGGTGGCACACGCCTGTAATCCCGGCTACTCAGGAGGCTGAGGCAGGAGAATCGCTTGAACCTGGGAGGCGGAGCTTGCAGTGAGCCGAGATCACACTACTGCACTCTAGCCTGGGCGACAGAGTGACACTCCGTCAAAAAAAAAAAAAAAAAAAAAAAGGCAGGGCGAGGTGGCTCATGCCTGTAATCTCAGCACTTTGGCAGGCCAAGGCAGGTGGATCACCTGAAGTCAGGAGTTCAAGACCAACCTGGCCAACATGGTGAAACGCCGTCTCTACTAAAAATACAAAAATTAGCTGGGTGTTGTGTCACTCACCTGTAATCCCAGCTACTCAGGAGGCTGAGGCAGGAGAATCACTTGAACCCGGGAGGGTAAAGGTTGCAGTGAGCTGATATCGTACCACTGCACTCCAGCCTGAGCAACAGAGCGAGACTCTATTGTCTTTAAGGGCCAATCCCATAGTATATTACAGAGACTCACCTGACTAAGAAAGGTTTTTGACAAAGAAAACCCACAGAAGAAGAGATAAGCTGTGGATATGATAAGAAAGACACTACAATCTATTTAAATCTAATTGCACATTAGATAATATATATATGAAAAATTATTTAAGCCAGTTTCCTGATTTCATTATATATTCATTATATATTTCTTATAAGGTTTTCATTTTTTTTTTTTTTTTTGAGACGGAGTCTTGCTCTGTCGCCCAGGCTGGAGCGCAGTGGCCGGATCTCAGCTCACTGCAAGCTCTGCCTCCCGGGTTTACGCCATTCTCCTGCCTCAGCCTCCCGAGTAGCTGGGACTAAGGCGCGCGCCACCTTGCCTGGCTAGTTTTTTGTATTTTTTAGTAGAGACAGGGTTTCACCATATTAGCCAGGATGGTCTCGATCTCCTGACCTTGTGATCCGCCCGTCTCGGCCTCCCAAAGTGCTGGGATTACAGGCTTGAGCCACCGCGCCCGGCCAAGGTTTTCATTAGGTTTTGTTGTTGTTGTTGTTGTTTTTGTAAGAATACTTTATTGCCCAAATCCCACAAAGGTCTCAGGCCCTGGGGCCAAGCCCACAGCGCCAACCTGTCCCCTGGCTCCGAGCCTGGTCTTTGGTGCCCACCCTGGCCTGATGGGCCAAGGTCTTCTTTGGAGTGTGCAGGTGTCCATGAGCGTTCCTGTGTTGGGGGAAGCCTGCCTCGGCCACAAGTAATCAGGCACTGTGGCAGCCTCAAGATGAAGGCAGGTGGTGTAGAGTTGGGTCCCCACCTGCCCAGGCTCAGGGGCCACAGGGGTCTACACAGTCCTTTCTGCTTTGAAACACGTGGTAGATGCTGGTGGGAGGGAACATGGTGCCGGCACCAAGCAGGGAGCCCACCTGGATGGCCACACCAGCCGCCAGCAATGCCGGCCGACCCCCACCATGCAGCAGGGAGCTTGCAGCCACCTTCACATATGAGAACACACAAAGACACAGCACCCACGACAGTACCTGCAAGGGGGGACACAGCAGCAGGCTGAGTGTGAATGCCTTTGCCCCAGGGAACACCCTCCTCCCCACTTCATGTCCCCACTTGCTCACCACAAGGACCACCCCTGCAGTGGTGCCCACCAGGGGTGGGCAGGGGCTCAGGATTGCCAGTACCATCAGGTAGGCCCCAAAGAGCATGCCCAGCAGAGAAAGACCAACCAGCCCTGCCAGGGACCTGTTGGGGATGAGCAGACTCAGGGCTGATTGTTCTGGGACCTGGGCCCCAACTGTAAGTTCCACCCACCAAGCTTGGGGCCCCTTTTGCACCTGCACAGCACGCCCATGGCCAGGAAGCAGGCAAGGGGGTTGGCGGCACTGCCCAGCACCACAGCCAGGTGGTAGGCCAGGCGCCCATAGGGCAAACAGGAAAAGCTCTGCACGGCAGGCAGCACGCCATTGGTCAGGGCACTGGTGATGGCCAGCAGGCCCAGCAGGAAGGCACCATGGGCTGAGAACAGCTGATGGGCCTCAGGGTCTGGGCCAGGGATGGTGCCTGCTGCCTGGCTTGGTGGCTCCTGCAATGGCAAAGCCTCTTCTTCCTCCTTCTCTTCCTCCTCTGCTCCTGGGGATCCCAATGGAAGTTCAGGCCCTGCGCCCCCTGTGGTTACAGATGGTAGTGATGGCAACAGCAACAGGAGACCCTGGAAGGCGGCAGCCGAAGTGACCAGAAGGGCAGTCAGTGCCCAGAAGAAGGTGCTGGCAGGAAAACGCTCAGGGAAGTTGAGGGGAGGCCCAGAGGTGCCATTGGTGGGTGCTGGCGAGCACTCGAGGCGGCCTACACCCTGCACTAGGGCCAGCACACAGGGGAGCAGGGCACTGAGACCCTGACCCAGGAAGAAAGACCGTAAGAAAGGAGGTGGCAGGTGGCTCAGGAAGGGCAGGAAAGTGACATTAGAGGTACAGCAGGCCAGTGCCAACACTAAGGCCAGTGTTAGGAAGGCCACGGAGTGGAGTTGCCCTGCCACTGGGGCCACGTGGTGCCACAGAGGGGCCAGCAGGGCTGTGCCCACTACACTCAGCACCTGTACCACCTGGATGGGGACCCGCTCGCCCTTGCCCGGGGCCAGCCGCCTCCACAGAGTCACCACCAGCAGACCCAGGTTTCCCAGTGCCACAACCACAGAGAGGTATGAGGGGAGGCTCCAACCTGCAGGGAAGGAATGACGCCACGTCAGGAGCATAGCGGTTAAAGGACAAACAGCTGCCACAGGCCACCTTTCTGGGCACACCTGCCCCACGCTTCCCTGTACCTCCCTCCCACTCACCCTCTGGAAGGTCTTTTACCACCACAGGCAGCTCCACCCAGATGCCGTTGACAGCAGCCCAGGAGCCCATGCCGAAAAGGGCCACCAGCAGGTGGGTCAGCACCAGATGGCCCAGCGTGGGTGCTGCCATTCAGCCCAAAGCTGGACCCTCCAGGACAGTGCAAAGGTCACAGGCAGGTCCTTCCCACGTAGGTCCAAAGATGCTTCGGCTCTTCTGGAAACTGAAGACCTTCTAGCTGGAAGGAAACCGACAGGCTGGCAGGTAATAGGCAGGTGGAACAGAACCGGAGTCAGAAGACAAGTCGGGCAGACTGCTAAGACCAGAGCAACTGGAGGGAGCAGTGGCCAGGCGCCGCGGGGAAGAGGGGGGGCCAGGACTTACCAGGGGGCACTGGCTGCGCGCGTGGGGGCGGCACCCCAGCAGTGCCGGCAGGGAGAGAGGCAGGAAGCTGGCCCAAGGTGCAGCTGCCCCGGAGGAGCAAAGAGGGAGCTGATTTTCCTACCCACAGAGGACCGGAGGTCCCAGTTGTCAAAACAGCTCGGCACTGGCGGGGTGCGGTGGCTCACGCCTGTAATTGCAGCACTTTGGGAAGCTGAGGCAGGCTGATCGCCTGAGGTCAGGAGTTTGAGACCAGCCTGGCAAACATGGTGAAACCCGGTCTCCACTAAAAATACAATAATCAGCTGGGCGTGGTGGCATGGACCTGCAATCCCAGCTACTCAGGAGGCTGAGGCAGGAGATTCACTTGAACCCGGAAGGCGGAGCTTTCAGTGAGCCAAGATGGCGCCACTGCATTCCAGCCTGGGCGACAGAACGAGACTCGGTCTCAAAAACAAAAAACAAAACAACACAAAACAATAGCTCCGCACCAACACCCTCACCTTCAAATGGACCCCGGGACAAGGGGACCTCTCAGGTGCCACGCGCAACCCTAGCGCTTTTGCGACACTCAGGACTTGCCGAGGCAGGTCGGGTTGGAGAGGGGAGTGGCCGGGGCGGGCTTTGCCGGAGGGGCGTTCCGTTCTGCCCTCCCGCCTGCGTTAGGGGGCGTCCCGGGAGCCGCCAGGTGCGCAGGGGTCCCCGCGCCTCCAGATGCAGCAGTCCCCGGAACCAGCAGCTGGCGGTCCCCCTGAGAGGGAGCCCCCGCCGCCGGGGAGGCGGCCCAGCCCAGAGCCTGCACAGCTCGGATTTTGTTGTTTGTTATTTTAATTAATTAATTAATTTTGAGACAGGGTCTCGCTCTGTCACCCAGGCTGGGGCGCAGCGGTGGCGATCGCGGCTCACTACAGCCTCAACCTCGGAGGCTCAAGCGATCCTCCCACTTCAGCCTGACCCAGTCCCCCCACAAGTAAAGACTAGGTCTTGCTATGTTGCACAGGCTGGTCCCAAACTCCTGGGCTCAAGCAATCCTCCCACCTCGGCCTCCCAAAGCCTTGGGTTTATAGGCATGAACCACCATTCCCAGCCCAAATTTGTTCTTGCATGGGGTGAGAGGACTTAATGCAAATGATAGGATCTGTCATTGTGGTTTCAACACTACGTGCCTCAAACCTTACACTTCACCCTGAATTTTCAGAAAACAGCAAGGGATGGCCATGGGGTGGGGGGCGCAGAGAATAACCAAGGGGACCGAAGGTCTAACTCACCAAGGTGCAGAATCCTCACCTGGAAGATCCCTGTGCTCCTTGGTAGATAGACTACCTGGTACTCTACTGTGTCTACGAAGCCCTGAGGCTGTTACTTGCCAGCTCAGTTCACCATAACCTTATAGCACCGAATAGCACTTTTTTTTTTTTTTTTAGACAGAGTCTCACTCTGTGGCCCAGGCTGGAGTGCAGTGGTGCTATCTCAGCTCACCGCAACCTCCACCTCCCGGGCTTAAGCGATTTTCCTGCCTTAGCCTCCAGAGTAGCTGTGATTATAGGCGCCTGCCACCTTCCTAGGCTAATTTTTGTATTTTATTTTATTTTATTTTAAGATATTATTATTATTATTATTGAGATGGAGTCCCACTCTGTTGCCCAGGCAACCTGGGATTACAGGTGTGCATCACCACACCCAGCTAATTTTTGTATTTTTAGTAGAGACAGCATTTCACCTTCTTGGTCAGGCTGGTCTTGAACTCCTGACCTCAGGTGATCCACCCACCTCAGCCTCCCAAAATGCTGGGATTACAGGCATGAGCCACCGCGCCTGGGCCTTCCTTTTCCAAATCTTGACAACCTGTGAAAGAATAGCTCTTCTTAGAGAGGGGCTGAGTTTGAGGGGAGAGGCATAGGCTGTCTTCCTTCAGCAGGCAAGAAGAGAATGAGCCCTCATGCTCACTCATAACAGTCAGTGCACATGGGCAGGAGGGGCAGTGGTAAGGGTTTTCCAAGTCTCCAACCTCCAATTTTGTTGTTTTTGTTGTTGTTATTTTTGAGACAGGGTCTCACTTTGTCACCCAGGCTGGAGTCCATTGGCAAGATCATAGCTTGCTGTAGCCTTGAACTCCTGAGTTCCAAGTGGTCTTCCAGCTTTGACCTCCCAAGTAGCTGGGACCATAGGTTTGTGCCAGCCACCATGCCCGGCTAATTTTTTACTTTTATTTTTATTTATTTATTTATTTTTGAGATGGAGACTCGCCTTGTTGCCCAGGCTGGAGTATAGTGGTGCACTCTCGGCTCACTACAACCTCCGCCTCCCGGGTTCAAGTGATTCTCCCATCTCAGCCTCCCAAGTAGCTGGGACTACAGGTGCACACCACCATGCCCAGCTAATTTTGTTTTGTTTTGTTTTTCTGAGTCGGAGTTTCACTCTTGTTGCCCAGGCTGGAGTGCAATGGTGCGATCTCAGCTCACTGCAACCTCAGCCTCCTGGGTTGAAGCGATTCTCCTGCCTCAGGCTCCCTAGTAGATGGGACTACAGGTGCCCATCACCATGCCCAGCTAATTTTTTGTATTTTTAGTAGAGACAGGATTTTATCATGTTGGCCAGGCTGGTCTCGAACTCCTGACCTCAGGTGATCCGCCCCCCCTCGGCTTCCCAAAGTGCTGGGATTACAGGCGTGAGCCACCACGCCCCGCATTTTTTTTGTTTTTAGTAGAGATGGGTTTCATTATGTTGGTCAGGATGGTCTTGAACTCCTGACCTCAAGTGATCCACTTGCCTCAGCTTCCCAAAGTGCTGGAATTACAGGTGTGAGCCACTGCGCCCAGCCTTTTTTTTTTTTTTTTGAGACGGAGTCTCGCTCTGTTGCCCAGGCTGGAGTGCAGTGGCCGGATCTCAGCTCACTGAAAGCTCCACCTCCTGGGTTTATGCCATTCTCCTGCCTCAACCTCCCCAGTAGCTGGGACTACAGGCACCCGCCACCTCGCCCGGCTAGTTTTTTTTGTATTTTTTAGTAGAGACAGGGTTTCACCGTGTTAGCCAGGATGGTCTCGATCTCCTGACCTCGTGATCCGCCCATCTCAGCCTCCCAAAGTGCTGGGATTACAGGCTTAAGCCACCGCACCTGGCCTGTTTTTAAGGATAGGGTCTCAATATGTTTCCCAGACTGGTCTCAAACTCCTAGGATCAAGCGGTCCTCCTGCCTCAGCCTCTCAAAGTGTTGGTATTACAGGCGTGAGTCACCATGACCAGCCGTCCAACTTCCAATTTTTCACTGCCCCTAATTTCCTTACCCAGAAAGTACCTGGAATCCTAGACAATGGTTAGGGCTCCTATTCTGAAGACCTCAGCGCAGCATTTAGCATTCTCATGTTGGGGATGGATAGGGAGAGGGGCACACAGTCCCCACAGCCTTTTGGGGCACTGGGCTGGCCTTACAGCAAGCACTTGAAGGCCCTTCATTCATGAACTGTGGTGCAGGGGATAAACTGTTCCCACTGACTTCCTATTGAACCCCCTGTCCCACTTCCCATGTCTGTGTAGAGAAAGGTCATCACAAAGGAATGTGCTGTCTTCCTTTGCCTTCTGCTCAGGCAGCCGCTCTCCACCCTCTTCCTCTATCTCAGGAACACCTGGCCTCAGAGCTCAGAGGACGAGGTAAGCCCAATCAGTCTGAATCCTTATCTTACTCCTGCTGGCTTCAATCTGTCTGGCTCCTCCCGGATCTTCAACCTTTCCCTGTGGGTTAAAAGGCCATAGTTCTTTTTTTTTTTTTTTTTTTTTTTTTTTTTTTTGAGACGGAGTCTCGCTGTGTCGCCCAGGCTGGAGTGCAGTGGCCGGATCTCAGCTCACTGCAAGCTCTGCCTCCCGGGTTTTTACGCCATTCTCCTGCCTCAGCCTCCCGAGTAACCGGGACTACAGGCGCCCGCCACCTCGCCCGGCTAGTTTTTTGTATTTTTTAGTAGAGACGGGGTTTCACCGTGTTAGCCAGGATGGTCTCGAACTCCTGACGTCGTGATCCGCCCGTCTCGGCCTCCCAAAGTGCTGGGATTACAGGCTTGAGCCACCGCGCCCGGCCCATAGTTCTTTTTTTTTTTTTTTTTTTTTTGAGACAGAGTTTTGCTTTTGTTTCCCAGGCTGGAGTGCAGTGGCGCGATCTCAGCTCACCACAACCTCCGCTTCTTGGTTTCAAGCGATTCTCCCACCTCAGCCTCCTGAGTAGCTGGGATCTGGTATTACAGGAATGCGCCACCACGCCTGGCTAATTTTGTATTTTTTTGTTTTTCAGTAGAGACGGGGTTTCTCCATGTTGGTCAGGCTCATCTTGAACTCCCAACCTCAGGTGATCCGCCCCCCTCGGCTTCCCAAAGTGCTGGGATTATAGGCGTGAGCCACCGTGCCCGGCAAAAGGCCATAGTTCTTGCCCCTCCAGCATGACTATCTCTGGGCCTGGCCTGGGTTTGACAACTTGCCTGGCAGGGAGAGAAAATCCAGCCAACTGGTACAACTTAAACCGTCAGGGTGAATTTAACACTGCCTTGTCTCCTGCCTGAACAGATACCTCTACAGAGCAAACGTTTTGTGAAATAAGCCCACAGATGAGGTTTGATACTCTTCCATTAAAGACTTGGGAATATTTGGAACTCAAATCTCAGGGAGGCCTTGAGCAGCAATGCTGGCTTTCGAGGGCTGGAAAGAACTTTAGAGAACATCTAATTCGTCATCTCATTGTATTCTTTTCTTTTCTTTTTTTTTTTTTTGAGACTGAGTCGTGCTATCGCCCAGGCTGGAGTGCAGTGGCGCAATCTCAGCTCACTGCAACCTCCGACTCCTGGGTTCAGGTGATTCTCCTGCCTCAGCCTCCCAAGTAGCTGGGATTACAGGCGCCCGCCACCTTGCCTAGCTAATTTTTGTATTTTTAATAGAGGTGGGGTTTCACCATGTTGGCCAGGCTGGTCTCGAACTCCTGACCTCGGGTGATCCGCCCGCCTCGGCCTCCCAGAGTGTTAGCATTACAGGCGTGAGTCACCATGCCCAGCCAATCATTGTATTCATTTTTGAAAGTATTTATGGAAGGCCCACTGTATAGAATGCATTTTGTTATGTATTTGGATGACACAAAGACATATACATAAGTAAAATTCTACAAGGCCGGGCCCTGTCCTTCCTCTCCTACCTCCTTTCTAGCACTCTAGGCCTCCCACCAAATTGCTTATGGTTCTCTGCAGACCCCACACTGTGTCCTACCTTTGTGTCTTTCCTCTTCCTGGAAGATCCTCCACACCTCACAGCCCCCTTCTACTGGCTGACTCCTACTCACTGGTGAGTCTCAGCTTAGCTACTGTAGCCTCAAGAGGCCTTGACTCTCTCAGACTGGGTTAAGTTCGTTCGTTCGTTCGTTCGTTCGTTCGCTCCTTCCTTCCTTCCTTCCTTCCTTCCTTCCTTCCTTCCTTCCTTCCTTCCTTCCTTCCCTCCTTCCTTCCTTCTTTCTTTCTTTCCTTTCCTTTCTTTCTTTTTCTTTATTATTATTATTATTATTATTATTATTTTTTTTTTTTTTTGAGAGGGAGTCTCACTCTGTCGCCCAGGCTGGGATGCAGTGGCCGGATCTCAGCTCACTGCAAGCTCCGCCTCCCGGGTTTACGCCATTCTCCT